GGGGGGGGGGGGGGGGGGGGGCAGGCTGAAATCCGGCCAGGCGGATCGGCAGCACGGAGGGCCAACGGGCAGGGGAGCAGCGCTGCGACTGCCAACTTATGGCTAGCTGGGGGCAGGCTACCGGGAACCGGTCCTTCCGCCACTCACCCGCCCGTCCCATCCGCACACCGCTGGGCTAGCTGCAGCCGGTCTCTTCGGGGCCTCGAGGTCTTGGGATTTATCCCGCGCCGGGCGCCCGCGGCCCGCCGGGGCGCCAACTGGCCTCCGCATCACCTCCCTCCTCCTCCCCCTCGCGCGTCCTTCTCGCCCCCCCCCCCCTCCCTCCTTCGCCGGCTGCCGATTGCCGCTACTTGCCTACCTGTCTGTCTCCTCGGCTACCGCCTTTCCGCCGCCGCGCTTGGTCAAGCTCGCCCGCACATCCACGCGTGCACCCTGCGCACACACTTCTGAGGGAAGGCCCCGCGCGTCTTTGCTTTTGCCCCCCCACCCCCCCTATAGGCCAGCATGGACGACCTTGACATCTACGGCTCTGTCCTCGAGGAGGAGGAGGTGCGTCTTGGATACTGGTTGTCACCTTGCTGCTGCTGCTGCTGCTCATCCTGGCCACTGATCACCGCATGTCCCTCGACCCGGCAGTTCTCCGCCGCGGCCATCAAGCCATCCTCGATCGAGCCGGCTTTGACCACATCGGATACCCCCTCGGCCGTGGTACAACCTATCGCCCCCCCTCCCCCCCCCCTTCCGCCTGATTGGACACCTCCGCTCTTTGCCAATGTTGCCACTGTGGCTAACGTGACACGCCTGGCGTGGCTCTCCCTGCCTGCTATGTCAGCCGGTTATCCTTTCTGAGACCAAGCACCTGGGCGCCCCGCCGGGCGGTCCCATGGCCGGCGACCATCCCGGCCCGGATCCCTGTACGCCGCGTTTCGTTTGCCTTGTCTCCTGAGTGCCTTGTGATGAGCCTAACCCCTTCCGCATTTCTTTCTCCCTCTCTCTCTCCCTCTGCTTCCCAGTGCGCTTGACCATGTCTACCACCGCAGTCCCGACCGGAAGCCTGGCTCCGCCTATGCAGCGCCCCGTGCCAGTGGCTCGTGCGCCGATTGCACAGCCTGCTGGTCCCGGCCCCGGCCCCGGCCCCGGCCCCGGCCCTGATCCCACCCTCGCCGACATGCCTCACATGTCGGGCACCAGTGCCTCGCCGCAGGAGGCTCTTTCTGGTGCTGGCGAGACCAAGTCCTTCTGCTATGTCTACAACATGCATTGGGTGCGTTCTTTTTTGCCTGCGACGTCACATGCTGCTGGCGTCTCTTGCGCTCTCCTTCCCGCCTCCCCCACACGCATACACACACACATACACACACATGTGTATATGCACATGGCGAATTCAACTCACGCGACGTTGCACCTTGGACCTGGCTGGTGTGTTGCTTCTGCGCAGTGGACCTCGGATGAGGATTTGTTGAAGATCGCCACCACCTTCAACATCACGGATGTCCGTCAAATCATTTTCGCTGACGAGAAGCTAAACGGGATGTCTCGCGGGTGCGTTCCATGCGTGCACACACACACACACATGCACATACACATGCCCACTCATCTACTCTCCTCTGTGCTTTTACACCCGAGCTGCGAAAACACCACCTGCCCCCCCCCCCTCCCTCTCTCTCTCACACACACACACACACATACCCACAAAGTGCCGCTAAGATCGAGTTTTTCCAGCCGGACTCCGGGCGTCGCTTCAAAGAGGCTATCGACTCCCAGTGCGTCCATGCATTCAACGCCACACCCTTCCCCGGCCAGAACGCCTGCATCTGCCAGGCTGCTTCCCATGGGGTCCGCCTTTTCCTCTGCTGCCTACTGACCGACCTCCTGCCAGTCTTGTTGAGCACGACGAGAAGAAGATCCATGCCTCCTTCGAGGAGCCGGTCGAATTTTCCGGCGGCTGTAGCCAGGAGAATGAGGCTCGGCCTGGACGCTCCGGTCGCTCCGGGCGCCGCGGCGGCAACGCCAATCCTCCAAACCCTGGTGGTATGTTCCCAGTATCAATCCCTGTGCCCC